GGAAAAAATTTTACGGGAAAACTACTACAAGGTATTTTAAAGGTTTTTTACAAGTGTTTTGGCGGGAAAATTGGGAGATCACTTTTCCTCCCAAAAAATATTTTGTATTTTGTGGACCTAATTTTGTTTCAAATAAGGGTAAAATGGTCATTAAAAATTAAAAGAGGGCAAACTTAAAAATGGACTCTCAAAGGGGGCATTTTTGAAAAGGGGTATTGAAAAAGGGGCATTTTTAACAATTTCTCATAATTCTATTACATTAATATAATATTAACTAGATCATGATTTATATCAATTATCAATTTTTATATTTTAATCAAATATAACTTAATTCAAATCAAGAACAAAACGGAAGCCAAACAAATTGTACAAATGATTTTATTTGGTTTTCATTTCTATAAAACCGATAAAATCAAAAGCCGAACCAAACAAAACCGTAAACCGATTTCTCATACCTACTGCTATACGCTCTGTTTTTGAGTAATTGCGACTTGTTTGTTATACAGGTACAGAGCAATCACGAGTGCATACTACAGAGGAGCAGTGGGGGCACTTCTAGTATACGACATAACTCGACACATAACGTTCGAAAACGTTGAACGATGGCTCAAGGAGCTTCGTGACCATACTGATGCCAACGTTGTGATCATGCTTGTTGGAAACAAAGCCGATCTTCGACACCTTCGTGCAGTCCCCACAGAAGAAGCTAGATCATTCTCTGAAAGAGAAAACATGTTTTTCATGGAGACTTCTGCTTTGGATGCTACAAATGTCGAACAAGCTTTCACTCATGTTTTGACTCAAATCTATCGTGTAATGAGCCGTAAAGCTCTTGATGGTACTGGAGATCCCATGTCTTTACCTAAAGGACAGACCATTGATATTGGAAACAAAGATGATGTTACTGCTGTTAAATCATCTGGTTGTTGCTCAGGTTGAGATTATTGTTTTTGTTTCTTGTAAACTGTCTTTTTGGAAGGAGGTTTTGGCTTTGGTTTTGTTGTATTGGACTATTTTTGGGGGCTTCATTTTAAGGTTATGAGACCGGTTTGGTTTTATATTACAAACCAAAGTTGTATTGAATTGAACAAGATTCGGTCCGGTTAATAAGGTAGTTTACTAATACCGAATTGATTGAACACCCATAGTCTTGAGCTTAACATTTTGGTGTAACATTTTAGGACATGAGTAGTCGACATGGATCGAAACCAAAAGTCTGGTGCTAACAAAGAGAGAGATAGAGAAACTTATTATTTTTTACTTTTTTTTTTACATCTTTGGATTGACAAAATCACTTAACTAAAGACATATCCCCGAAAAACTTAATAGTAACGTGAATTATGAGATGAACATTTTATCGTATCTAATCGGAAGATGATCAGCATCCAAGATAATAACTTTTATATACATTCAAATCAATTTATTATCATCTTTTAATGAATTTAATTGTCACAACTTTTCTTTCTATGTGTGTGGGTAAGTTTATTTTCTATATTCAACAAATAATTGTACAAACAAAGAAACAATGATGGGATATTGGGAATAAGAGGCACAACTTTGAACTTAAAAGTGAATATAATTTGAGGTTGGGATAAGATAGAATAAATAATGCTTCGGCTAGTTTTTTTTCCTGGGGTTTTTGAGTTCAATAATAATAACTTACCAAACTTTACAAATATTTAAAATAATTTACCCAAAAACCAAAGTAAAGAAGAGGAAGATATGTATACGGTATACCTTATTCCACACGGAAGCAAGTTAGGTCCACCGTCCAAATTATGAGAACACCTTTCCTTCCAAGTCTCAGGATGTTTATTGTTTCGTACACTTGACAATCATCATAATTATTCATGCGAAGATGATTATTTCTTATAAGCTAAATCATGAATAATTATGATCATTTTTTAGTACTGAAGAAATTCGAACAATGCAAGCAAAAGAGAAAAACCAAGCATCGTGTGAATACGGAACCGTTTTCAAAGATAAAGAAATTATATTCAACTACTTCAAAAATTAAGAATTGCGTCAAATAAAGAAACTCCTCTTTAAGTTTCAGTTTTAAGATTTAAACCGATTTTTAACGCCACCCCAGAATAATAACTTTTCTGCTTTCGCTTGCTTGCTTACTCAACATTTGGACTGTTTGGTAGTTAAAGGCCCAACTTTTGGAACTGTTCCTGTTTTTTCTACGTTCATAGTTTTTTTTTTTTGGATTTTATTATAGCAAAATGTGTAACGTGCAGGTCTTCATGCGTGAGGATTAGTACTAAATTACTAATTGACGTTAGTTAAAATGAATGCAACTAGTAATCTAAATTATAATTCTTTAAAAAGGAATCATAACGGGGAATGAAACGAAAATTCGTGGTTGACTAAGCACTTTACGTTATGAAAGCTTTAAGAAAGCTAGAGAGAAAATTTTGGAGAAGAAGAACTTTTTTTGTCTTTATTCAACTCAAGTTTTTACAGTGGCTAATGATTGATATTTAAGGATAAAGGTAATCAATGATGTCATGATAGGTGTCCTTTAGCACGTGACTTCACATGATCCAAGAGCTCCAAATTTGTTATGAAGGAAGCTTCCTGGAACCTTGCATTGCTTCGGGAATCTTCTGAGAACGTTATCTTGCTTTGTGTTGCTGCAGGATAACGACTGAGTATTAATGGGCTTTGACTGAGTTTCTTTGATGGGCTTCAGTGTTTGTGTTGCAGGTCCAACTTCACTTGAGAGCAAAACCTCTGTTTCAGCTGGAGAGTTCCTTATACTCCCCCGCAAACTTGGCGTGGGTGGCAAGCAAACGCCGAGTTTGAACCTCAAATCAAAGAACGCTTGTTGAGGAAGAGACTTGGTGAAGACATCTGCAATCTGATCAGGAGCTGGAATGTGCTTAACAATAAGAGCTCCAAGTGCAACCTGTTCTCGCACATGATGAAAGTCTC